AAGCATTGAGGTAACTTATTGCTACAACTATCCAAACAGAACTTCACATTCAACCATAATTTCCATACATAAAACCAATTTTATTTATCCAAAAAAGTGCCATTTTCCCAATTAAAGTATTTGTACATCAGTTATGATTGAGCAACAAATAGATAGTGAAAGGTTAGGGATAAAGAAACATAACTTACCACTGTAACGACCCATTAGCTTCACAATACCCAGACCATTGTCAACACTTCCAACTTCCACATGTGCTGCATTCATGGCTCTCTGAGCTTCTTCTACAGCAGTGTCAAAACCAAAAGACTTGTCTATAACCTATAATCCACGCACCATACCAAATGAAAAGACGAACATAAATAATCTCATATCTATATTCTTTGCTTGCATATTTAAACTTACAGCGATATCATTATCGATAGTCTTGGGGATTCCAGCAACTGACACTTTCAAACCATGTCTCCCAATTTTCTGTAATTAGAAGCATCGATTCAGCCAAGCAATTTACATTAGAGAGTAATAAGCACTACCGCCAAAGAAGACAATAAACATATAATACATCTTACAAATTCTTTATACAAATATTTTGGTACTTATATATTACAGATGCTTCTTTCTGTGTCCCATCTCCTCCTATTAATAACAGTATGATCCCCAAATTAAAACCAGTATTAATAATCAAATCATGAATTACATAAATGATTTCCATGAATCAAAATAAATAAAGTAAGGAAAGTAGTTAGAAGTAAACCAAGTAGGATTTCAAACCTGATTAATCCCTCGATCTTGAATGCTATCAACTATTTTGGGAGTGTCATGACCTCCTCTTGAAGTACCAATGATGGTGCCACCAAGTTTATAGGCAAAAGTGCAAGATTGCGGTGACTCTCAACCAAAAGTCTGAAAATGAACAATGTCACACCCCTAAAAAAAAGAGCAACAATCTAAAAGATAAAACATTGAATTCCATTGGAAAATGAGTATAATAGTACTAATGATAGTAATAACAACATCAACTCAAAAAAATTTCTTATTAACAACAACTCCTTGATGGATTCTATAAGTTAAAAATACAAATAAGATCAAACACAAATACTCCAAAAAAGAAAAAGGAAACGAGAACCATTGTTTATTAAATGCAATGACTAGCACTAAAAAGGTAATCCTCAAGTGGGTAACTCCAACTTTCAGATTCATGCACTTCAAAGCAAAAAGAATAAGAACATATAGTAATCAACCAGGTAACCATAATAATTTAACACGCTTCATTATATAACACTTTTCTAAGAAAGAAAAACTGGGCCACTACCAAGAAAACAAAGAGAACAAGAAGAGCCAGGCCATTAGCCCATATTTTCACCTGCTACAAATTCAAAACCCCTCAACATAGAAAACTCAATGTCTTGGGGTAAATCTCAAAAATCACAAACACTCCACACCACATCAAATTACAAAAACATAATTTCTTTGAATATTCATTTTTCTACAAATAATTTTTGCACATTAATTCCATATATTAGCAAAAGTAACCAGAAAAAAAATAAGCGCAATCGACCTGCAAAAGAAAAACAAAAAAACAATCCAATTTTTTTCTCTACAATCACTTTAGAACTACATCAAAAAAAAAAAGGAGCAATAAAAGACGAGAAAGGAACTAAAACATCTTAGTTACAGGAACTAAAAAATTTTCCACCATTTTCGAATGAAAATTACAATTTTCATAAATACCATCGAGAAATCAAAACCCCATTAAAGAAAATAACACTAGTATGTAATGACTAATGAAAGCAACAGAATTCCATACCCAAATATCAACAAGGAAGAACACATACATCAATAAGAAAAGAACTGCAAGTTATGATAAAGAAACAGAAGAAATAATCAAACTCAGAGAGAGAAAGTGGTGCCAATTAGCAAACAATACCGAATTATCAACACTGAAAAACTCAAACACCCATTAGAAAATGAATAATATAATGATGAATAAGCAGAAGAAATAATAGAAAAAAGCAGAGAGCAAGTAATTTATCCTCACTTCTAGGATTGAGCCTTGGACTCCCCACAACCTGCAAAAGAAAAACAAAAAAGCAATCCAAAATTTTTGCTCTACAATCACTTTAGAACTCAATCCAAAAAAAAGAAAAGAAAAAAAAGGAGCAATAAAAGAAGAGAAAGGAACTAAAAAATTTTATTTACAGTGGGTGGATCACTGTAAATGAAACCCTACGGTTTTGCTCCAAAGATTAAAACAGTGCTCTCATATGATTGGCTAGACCTATGATTTTGGAGTAACAATTTGGTGATTGATTCTGGATTTATTAGGAAATTCGATTTTTGAAGTAAGAATTTGGTGATTTATTGGGAAAAAAACCGTAGGTCTTTGGGTAGGGTTTCCGAAAAAAATTAGGTTTTCCACAATAGATAGTTTTCCATTGAAAAAAACCAACTGTAAAAAAATTTCACGAATTTGATGCATAGCATTGTAAACCATAAGTTTTTATTTATAAATCTTGTTTTGGAAAAAAATTGGTTGGAGTACATTCACGAAGGTAGGGATATGGCGGAGCACTTACCTGAGCATAGTGAAGGTAAGGGGTCTGTAACTAACTGAAACCACTGGGTCGGGCTATTCATATTCACCTAATCCCGATCTCGATCAACTACTAGATATGCTAGTAGAGGACCCGCTTCTGGAATTGGAATTTTTGATGCTCCAGGAACTTTTGCATCTTGAACTGCTCGTGCAGCTTCAGATTCAATAGAGAGCTCTGATATATATGATGCCACTGGTGGTATCGTCTGTTGCAAGAGGAGGGGTTTTCCAACCCTAGCTTGGCAGAGCAGAAGAGAGAAGAGGGCGAACGAGAGAGAGTGGAGGCTCGCAGAGTTGAGGAGAGGAAGCGGGAGAAGGGGTAAAGGGAAATTTTTTTGGGCTCGAAGCATTTGAGCAAATCCCACCCCTTCGCACGTAAGGTTTTCCAGCCAATCCAAGCCTTTCGTTTTGTTTGAATGGACGGCGCGATCGAGGGAGGCGAAATCACTGTATATTATCGCCAATAGACTTCGGAAGCCTTTTCATATATATATATATCATAAAACAGAACTATTAAATAAAATTCTGAAAAAAATTTGTAGAGATAAATTCAAAGTCACCGTGATCCAAAAATCACTAAAGCCAGAAAGAGCCAGAAAAGTGTAGGGACTGTTTCCGGTTTACTCGAACTACAAATGGCAAATTTTATCAAAACTTTATCTAATAGGACAGCTACTATTAGTAACACATTACGTGTTAACAACAGAAAAGAAATAATAATAATAATATATATATATATGTGTGTGTATGTGTGTAGAAAAAGCTGAGGTTAGCCCACTAGCTCATATGAGCATATGAACCCAACGGCTCAGATTGAATCTGGGCCGTTCTGACGATCACAGATGTCCGATGTGATTGAATTTTTTTTTTTTTCTATAAATCTAAATCACTTGAAATTTTAGATGTGTGTTCTTCTCATCTAGACGCACCTAATAAAAATATTAAAAAAAAATATTCACGAAAATCGGGTATTTTGATCAATTTATTTCATGTAAAATATTTTTTTGATATTTTTAGAAGATTCACCTATTTTTTATGAACATCCATGTACAATTTTAAGTAAATTCAAACACTAACGGACATCTGGGACCGTCAGATCGGTCCAGATTCAATCTGAGC